GTCTACAGCTTCCAGGAGATCTCTCATCAACAAGGTGGTGGATGAAGTTGAGGATATTGGTGAAATCATGGGAAGCACAGATGAAGAAGAAAACAGCGATGAGGAGCAAGAAGGCTTTGCAGAAGAAGCAGCAGAAGAGTGTAGTGGGGAGTCTGCTGAGCCTGAAGAAGAACCTGCTGGAGAAACACTTAATTCAACTGGAGAGTCCTTCCGTACAGAGGGTACGCAGTCTGAAGATGAGACCGACTCATCTCAGGAGGAATCCACTGGTGATGCAGAGCTTCAGTCAGGTGAGCAGCTGGAGTACTGCACCCAGGAAAGCGTCCCTGTCGATCAGAGTTTCTCTGCCCCCTCAGGTAATTACAGTACCTTGGTGGACAGAGGGAAGAATCTGAAGGACAATGGAAAACTACAAGAGGCACTGAACTGTTTCCTGCAAGCTCTTGACATAAAAAGTGGAGATCCTGAAATTATGCTTATGACTCTAAACTTGTATAGACAGCTAGCCCAGAAATGAAACGTAAACCTTTGAACAGTCTTATGAAATATGCGTACCTCTGTTAAGTAGTTTAACTTTTTTCACAAAATACTTGTCTGAACTACAGTGATTATTTTTTTTTAACTTAAGACTGATGGCTGCAATTTATATTTCTTTCATGTTGTGAAACTTTCAGTCGTGCTTAGTGAGCAAATCCAGCAACTCCTCCTGTCGTGTATAAAACTGTCACATTTTAGGTGCTGGGAAAGGGGTTTCACTGTGGACCCAGTTCACTAAGATGAAAGTTCACGTTCCTGTTCACTTAATTAAAATGCATATCTTTATACCCAAATGCAGCTCTGGATTTGTGTTTCCAGCCTTCAGTTTTTCTTCTGGCAGGAGAGAATCTCACAAAGCTGAAGGCGTGGTTCCACAGCAGCTTACTGCGGTCTAAATTCCAAATGCTGCAGTCCCTCCCCTTCTCAATGTAAAATAAAGTCCATTTCCCTACCTGAACCATGCCCTGCTTTTTGAGCACACCGAGTGCTTGGTGTAAAGCAGAGCACAGAACTGCCACCACCTGGATTTATCTGGTCTGACAATGCACATCCTGGGGTGGGGGGGAGATGGCGTGCTGGCCTCCATTACTTGGAAGATTTATAGCAGCAAACACCTACCTGGTGTCAGGTCTAGCACCAAAGCACAGCATCACAGAAAACCTTGTGCTCCAACTCCTGCCATCCCACTATTGCTGCAGAAGAGTTACGTAGCTGGGAGATTGCAGGAGGACTGGAAACAGCTGTTAGAGCTTGACTGCTGCAAGGTGCTGAACATTCTGAACCTTTGGGTATTTCTGGAGGAGTCAAGGGCTTCACAGGTGGCTCTGGTCTGACCTTGCAGTCTCCCTCTCATCTTTCCCTCTGAGCAGTATCATCAAAGCCTGCTGTTGCACAGAGGCAGCAGGAAAACACAACAGCTTTAAAGTTTTGCGCTGCTTTTCCTCTGGTGAGGTGGCCCTCTCACTCTCTTCCCACATTTGACTGAGCTGTGGAAATTTTTTTAATGAGGTACTATCAGCACAATGAACCTGAAATGAGTTCCTAGTGCAGTTCAAGCTTGAAGTTACAAGAACCTCACCCTGGCTCTCAGCAATGCCTTGCTAGCCTGACTTCCCCCTCTGCCACCACAGTGAGTTAAATTTGGCCTGGGTATGGGAATTTGAGTTCTTTGTACTAGTGACATGCCAAATGCAAACAGGAGATGTACCAATGTGCTTTTGCTAATAGGTGTAGAACAAAGCCCTGGTAGCCTGGAAACAAGTAGTTTATTAATAAAGCATCACTTAAATGGGGCTGCATCTGCTCTCGTGCTGTAAAAAGGCCTGTCTGCCTTACATAACAAAATATTAATGAGCTAGAGCTTTGCAAACGCTGGTTGGCTCGTACAGACCTTCTGTTCTCTCAACAAAATGAAACAAATGTCCCCTAAAGCAGAGCAGGAGAAAAACCTGACCTGATTTCAGCCTCACCTCTTCATTGTCTCTGATGGGGGGAAGACCTGTTGTTCTATTTGATGTTTTGTCCTCAGCCCTCAGACACACCAGTATGCTCACCAGCAGCAAAGACAGCACCAGTCTGTCTTTCAGCAGACAGAAGATGGGTGCAGTGGGATGTTTATTACCGAGATGCCAGAGGTAGGGATCTCATTCACATCAGTCACACTGTCATTTATCCAGTTTCACCAGAAGGACAAGGTGCACCTTACTAAGTTTTAGGCACGTACTTCATGCCTAGCAGTAGGTGAACTGAGGGAGCAACAGGCATTTAGTGGCCTTCCTCTAGCTTTTTCTTCTCTCATTCAAGCCTAAGTTACACAACTTCTTCCTTGAGCTTTGAGTGGATAAGGTACAGATGATTTTGTATTCGGAGGGGCTACTCTTACACCTTCCCCCTTCCTCCTACTGCTTTGTGCCTCCAGCCTTGGTAAAGGCTGCTGACTGAAAGAACAAGGAGCCTGCCCACAGCAGCAACCCTGAGCCCTAGCTGTAGCATTAGCTGTCCTCTACAATGGGAGGCTCTTCCCACTTTAAGTCTGAGCTCTGGAGCTGAACCTGTAGCATCTGAGCTGCCTGCATCCTTGCTGGTGAGGATAAAAGCAAATGCTCTAGGGAACCCCTTACCCTTTCTAGGTTGACTGTATTTGCAGCCTGAGCTTTCGCAGCTGTACATCATCTCTGTAGCAGGAAAAGCAAGGGGCTGGCCTACAAGCTGATGCAGATTTCAACATCTACACGCAACCTTTACCTTTTTCAGGGAGCACTTTCTCTCTCTGTGCAGGGCCCCATTCTCTGCTGGCTGTGATTTGCACTTCCTGCAGGGATGGCTGGCCGTCTCCAAGCACCTGCTGGTTATGACCAATGTGCTCCTACATCCACGTGCCTGGGAAATGCTCAGAATTCAAGCAGCCATGAATTCAACGGTCATTCACATTTTATTTCCTGCCTTCCACCATAATAATATGGTACCCAAACTTGGTTTTGACAGGGGGGTCCGTATACACCGGCTTGTCCATGCTGCTCACCGGCAGGGCAAACGCCGCATCCTGGAAAGGTCCCACCATGGAGCCTCTGGTCATCCAGCCCAAGTCTCCCTGGAGGAAGGAACGGCCAGGTTAAGCTGCAGACCTCTCACCGCCGAGGGCAGCGCTCGGCCAGGAGCAGCCTTACCCCTTGCCTGGCCTTGTCCTCGCTGTACTGCGAGGCCACCTCGCTGAAGCGCACCCCGGCCTTCAGCTTCTCCATGGCTTCCATGGCTCTGCCGTGCTTCTCGCACAAGATGTGCCGAACCTGAGAGGCAGGAGGGGGCCGTGACGGGCTGCGACAGCCGCCAGCCCCGAAAGCAAGGAGGGAGAACCGGTACGCACCTTCACGGCGCTGCCGCCGCCCTTCGGGCCCCGGGCCCCGGCCTCGCCGCTCTCACCGCCTGCAAACAGCGCCATGAAACCGGGCCGGTCCTCCAAGCGCCGGTACCGGCACCCGGGCCGCTCTGCAGGCCTCCCTTCCCCGGCCCCGCTCACCCTTGCCCGCCTTGCCGCCTTTCCCCTTCGGAGCCATAACCACAGCACCGCCACACTCAACGCCGACCAGCACGCCTTGCGCAGCGACCCGCCCCGGGGCCTTGGGCCCGCCCCTTGTCTCGGGCCCTGGGCCCGCCCCCGTTCCCTAGGCCTGCCCCCCAACCCCTAGGCCTGCCGCGAATCCGTAGGCCTGCCCCCGGTCCCTGGGCTCGCCCCCGGTCCCTGGGCCTGCACGTGGTACTGTGATGTCCGCTGCCCTCTCGTTTCCACCTCCCCGCAGGGTTTGGATGAACCATGGAGATATCTTAGAGTCGGTTTGGGTTGTTTTTGGTTTGTTTTGTTTTGTTTTTTCTTTTTTTTTTTTTTTTTTTTTAAAATTCTTTCTTTTCCTGAGTTTCTCAGCCTGACTTAACTTCAGATCCTAACTTAACGCTGAAATCTGCCATCCTTGAGAGGGAAGGGAGCAAGTGCGAGTAACAGGAGGGGTTCAAAACAAACAGCTGAGGACAGCAGAGCCTCTCTGAGCTCAGCAGAGCCTCTCTGAGCTCAGCGCAGGGCACATCCACAGAGGTGGTGCTCCAGGGGAGGGCACAGGGTCTCCAAACCAACCCTGGCCCCTGGGGCTGTGCCCCACTGCTGCTCAGCCCTGGCCCCATTGCTCTGCCCCGATTCAGGGAGGCTGGGGTACTTGGGAGCTTGCAGATAGGGGAAGTAATAAAGCACAAACTTTCTTAACTCTGTGTTTCTCTGCTAGTTGCTGTCTGGCCTTTTCTTGCCCTGAGGAAGAAGAGAGATGGTGTTTCTGCTCAGCCCCCACCCCCCGGCTGTCCTTGCCCCACTGCTCCTCACTGTGGCTTCTGCTGCAGTCCCAGCACATGGTGTGTGGGGTCCTGTTTGTGTCAGGGGGATGGTGGCAGTGCCAGCAGTACAGGGACAGCAGTGGGGTGCAGCCCCAGGCACAGAAACTGGGAAACTGCAGGAGTCCTGTGAGTGAGGGTCAAAGCACAGCCCTGCATCCCAACAGCTGGCTGGGTTTGGCCAGCAGCTGTAGGAACTCCAGCAATGGGAGCTGTAGATGTCTGCAGGAGGCACAAGACTACCCGGCTTCTGCAGGGTGCTTCAGTCTGATGGCAGAGGTGGGGAGGGAAAGTCTGTGTTTGCACTGAGGGCTGAAGAACTCTCTGGAATGCAGCATTGTCAGGGGCTTTCGAGGGGCCTGAGGTCACCGCACAGGCTGCAGACAGCAGGCGCCTGCTCCCCGTGCAGCAGGGAGGAAGCTTTGGATGATGAGCAGGAATGGTCTGTGGCTCTTCCAAAGCAACCTCCTGTCCAACCGACCTCCAAAGTAAATCTCCACATTTCCAGCTGAACTCAAAACCTGGGACTTTTGCCTGGGAAACTGATGGCACAACGTCAAAGGAAAGAGAATAAAACATCATCACCATTGTGCATTAGAAAAAGCCGTTTAAAGTACCACATGCCGAGTGACCAAACAGTTTCAAGCTAGCTTTGTTGTGGGTGCTGGGAGGTGCCTGGAGCTGCAGTCCTGCTGTGTTCCTGAGCAGCAGGAGCTGCTGTCCCAGTGGCACAGGAGGTGCCAGGTCCCAGTCCCCACTAGAGTGCTGCATGTCTGCCTCTCCCCTCTTGCCAGCAGCGCAGCAGGGACATGGGGGCCTCAGGTCCCAACACTGCTTCTCTGCCAGCAACTCTCCCACTGGAGAGGAACCAAAGAGGATTCGCCAAGGAAGAAATGAAAGCACGAAAGAAGCCCCAGTGGGGCAGCCGGGACATCCCTTCTGCAGTGACCTGAGTGCCTAAAGCTACTGCCCGCAGCACGGCTCCATCTGCACCAACCCGAGCCCTTTGTGGCCAGAAGGCTCTGTGCAGGTTTAGGGCTGGCTGTTTGCACCATCTAGCTCAGGAGCAAACTCCATCATGACCCTCCGAGCCAGTGGATTTGTGGTCTTGAGCAGTTCAGCTGCAGATGGCCGGGAACCGCTGCTGGTTTTACTGCTCTTCTTCTGGAGCAGAGCCTTAAAATCTTCATTCCTGCTGGAGGACTTCCCGGTGCTCACTGCTGCTGCAGGAGACTCACTGGTTGGTGAGCCTGACGTCTTCACGGGAGAGTGGGAATTGGGCCGGCTGCTAAAGCTGTCGCCTGGCTCCTTCCGCCCCAGAACCTTCCTCTTGGACCTAAACACCAAAGAGATGTGTGGTGGGAGCAGTCCCAGGCAGGAGCTGCCACTGCTTTGGATGGGTTGATTTCCTATAGCAATGGGAAGGGCAGTGCCTAAGGGGCAAAGGGCAGAGCGTAAGGGGGGAGGAGCACGGCACCCACCCTGCTCTGCTGGGGCAGGATGGAGGTGCTCAAAGCCAGGCTGGACAGGGCTTGGTGCAACCTGACCCAGTGGGAGGTGTCCCTGCCGACAGCAGGGTGTTGGACTGGAGGATCTTTAACACCCCTTCCAACCAAATGATGCTGTGATTCTGTGCTTAGCATACGTGTGAGCCATCCACAGCTCCTCTGGGCAATCTGTTCCAGTGCCTCACCACCCTCATTGTAAAAAATTCCTTCCTTACATCCTCAGGAGTGCATAAGGCAACAACAACCCCTCCGAGGGTGGGCTCGAGGGGCTGTGCCCACCACAGCGCTCTTTCTACCTGTGAATGACAGTGAAGAGATCCTCTGTGGTGCGGGATGCCATGAAGACATCATCGTCTTCCTCAGCGATGGAGTCGGCCGTCTTGTCACTGGCGAAGCTCTTCTCCTCTGTGCCAGCCTCAGACGAACTGCCTGCTTGCAGGGAGGAGAAGACAGCCATGAAATACATGGGATGATGGAGAGGGATCCCCCGGCCCCCTTCTCCGCACAGAGCAGCAGGCGCACCCTCACCTTGCTCCGAGGGGGTCTCGCCAGCTTGCGCCGTGCCTGGGACCTCAGTGGGTGTTGCGCCATCAGCGTCAGGTTGGCAGCAGCTGGGCTCTGAATCCAGCGTGATGATGGGGCTGGGGGTGGGCGCCGGGTCCCCTGCACCCCCCGCCTGCTGCACCGGGATTGGGGTGAGCGGCAGGTAGAGCACGCTGGGCTTCTTGGGCACCGGCGGCGGCACCTTGGCCTTCCTGCGCTCTGCCTCTGGCCGCGGTTTGTCCTCCAGGCTGCCCTGCGAGAGCCGCCGAGGCTGCCCCGGGCCCCTCCATGGCTCCCCTTTCCGTAGCATCAGGCTGTCCTTGGTGGTGATGCTTGGTGGGGATGTGGGGGACAGGGGACCCTCCTCCCGCAGGACCACGGGCTTGGGCAGGATGCACGGGGGCCGCTTGGCCAACGGTGGTTTCTCCGCTACCGGCGGCTTCACTTTCCTCTCCGGCCCCGGGCAGGGGATACGTGGCAGTTCCTCCGCATGCTCTGGGCCGTCAGTGTTGTCCTCTGGCTCGGAGCGGCTGATGGAGCGCAGACGCACAGAGCGCAGGTCGGACTGGGTGACCACGGGCATGATGGGCTGGATGGGACTGGTCTTCTGGACCAGCTTGGTGCCGAAGGTGGAGTCGGAGTGGTGCCGGCTGACCTTGGTCTTCCCCTTCAAGGAGATCTTCAGCCCCGAGAGGTCGAGGTGGGCGGGCGGTGTGAGCGGCAGCTCAAAGGACAGCCTGGATTTGGGACTCCTCTCCATGGGGGATGTGGGGGGCAGCGAGGACTTCCTCTCGGGAACCAGCGGCCTCACCCGCACCTGGTGTGGTGAGTGCCCGAGGATGGCTGAGGTGGGGACGGTGGGTGTGGGGGTCTCTGATTGGCTGGAGTACCCGCTGGATGGGGACATCAGCCCTGCGGGCCTGCCCGGGGACGAGGTTTTGAGGTCAGCCTCTGCTGAGAGCTGGGAGGGTGTTGTGGCCCTGGAGATAGAGGGGGACATGAGGGACTCGGAGCTGCCCCGTGCCTTCACACACTCAATGGCTGTAGTCCCTGTGGCTGTGCTGGAGCCGGAGAGGGAGCGGTAGGGCTCACCATTCTTCCAGTCTGCCATGTACCACTGGCCGGGGGCAGCTGGGCTGTCGGGCTCTCTACCCTGGGGGTCTGCATGCACCACCCGGTGCCCAGCAGGTTCCAGCGGGATGCACAGGCTCTTGGGTCTCTGATCATGGGGCAGCCCCAGGGCAGCCAGGCTGTCCTGCCCTTCTTTGATCAGTGAGACGCTGCGGGTGGGCGGCGAGGGCTTCTTCTTGGCCTTCTTAAGGGAAATGCTCTTGGAGCGCCGCCGCCGCTGCCCGTCCGGCTCCGGCCCGAGCGAGATGTTATCAGTGCTGGTGCTGCCCTCGGAGCCGGCGCTGGGGTAGCCCAGGGCACAGTTGGTGCTGCCTCGCCGGGCTTCGGCGTAAGCAATGTCCACGGAGCAGAGGGACCCCGAGTCGGTGGGCACCGACAGCGAGCGCTCGCGGAAGCGGCACCCTCCCCGCTCCACCCCTAAGCGCGATGGCTCCGGTGCCGGCTCCGGCTCTTTGTTTGTGGGTGAAAAGTTCACCCTGGCTTCTTGGCCATCACACCTCCGGATGCCCCCAGCGCCAGGAGGAGACTCAGGAGTCGTGGCGGAGAAGGAGCTGGGCCCAGCGCTCCCCACATGCTCCTCCTGAGCGATGAAGAAGGAGGCGGCCCGCTCGGTGCCGGTGGGTGAGCCCATGGCGGAGCTGCCTGGTGAGACCTCGTGGCCGGCAGCAGGGCTGGGGGGGGTGGTGTATCCTAAGGAATTGGCACCCCAAGGTGGGGGAAAAGAGGAGCCCTGTGGTCCGTTGCAGGTGCTGGGGGTGGCCGCGTTGTCCATGGAGGATGGCGGTGGGCAGCAGCGTGCCTGCAGCGTGCCCCCGAGATCACTGAAGGTCTTCCTCAGCGGGGCAGAGAGCGGCTGGCGGGGGCTGGTCTGCTGGGAGGGCTTCCTCCCACCCGCGGTCTCAAAGCTGCAGGACAGGGACTCGGCGATGGGGGGGTGTGTGGTGTGCGCAGGGCCGTTGGTGCTGCCTGTGGGGACAAAAGTGGGGTGAGCGTGGGCTGGCATTGCCCTGGGCATCACGGCCACCATCCTTCCCTATTGGATGTAGGACCGTTCCCACCCTATGGCCCAGCTTTGGACTGCATCCTTGCCTGCATATGCAGTGTGTCCCAGCTGACTGCAAGAGAAGGGTTGACCCCAGATGTTCCCCTCTACTGGGTGGGCAGCAGCCAGCTGGGGACAGTCCCAGCCTGGTTAGCACCTGTGCTGGGATTTGAGATGTGCCATGAGGTGTGTGGACAGTTTAACTGGGGCGGGAGCCTCCATGCAAGAGGCAGTACCCCCATAGGGACCAAAGTGCTGCCCCAGTGCTGTTCTGTGGTGGGCATCACCCCCTGGGCTCACAGCCCTTCCTCATCTCAGAGCAGTCCAGTGGGAACAGTGCCAGGGTACCACACACAGCCAGACAGGGACTCAAGGCTGTGATCAGCTGAACTCTGAGTTACTCCACAGGAGGAGTCTCACTGGGGTCCTGTCCCCAGTGGCTGGCCAGCGTCACAGGGAAAAGCCTTCCTCCTGCCCAGTGAGAACTTCTCTTGGTGCTGTGATTTCTCTACCTCCGGTCCCCACATACTTATGAAGAACCTTTCCTGCGGTCAGCACTGCGATGCCCAAGAGCTGGGACAGATGCTGCACTGATAGGATCAAGCACTGCTTCATGGCCACGCCAGGGATGCTCTGAGCACCCTCACCATGCCAGCACCCTCATCACAGTGGCGTGGGGTCTGCCTACTGCCCGCGAGGAAGGGCACAGGGCCAGGTTGGATCTCAGCATCCTTCACTCCTTGTAAGCACCCTGACTTGGGGCATGGCGGTGTCCCCCAACACATGCCAGCTCCAGTGCCAGGCCAAGCGTCACCAGCATGCCCAGGACCCCAGCTGTGCACAGGGGGTCTCCTTGGTGGCCTTCACACCCCCACGGCCGGGGTGTCCCAGCCCCCCGGGGTGGCTGCGCGGTTCTTGCTGTCACCTTGGTCTCGCAGGGACATGTTAGGGAATCCGATAACGGTCCGTCTACGCCGCAGGGTGGACTTGGGGTTCATCGCGGTCTCTGTGTTAAACAGGGAGTGACGAGCACTCGCGTGCCTAGCAAAGTGCTGCCCTGTAGCCAAAACAAACACGCCGTACCGTATTGCTGCGGCCAGGAGGACACGGCCACCTGCGGCACCACGGCTGTCCCCTGGCTTGCTGCAGCAGGGAGTGGGTGGCGGGGGATGGAGGACGTGGTGAGCCATGTGCTGTGAGATGTGGTGGGTGGTGCCGGCTGCGGGAACGCGGAGCTGCTGCTGCGATGGAGGTGGGATGCATGAAATGATGAGAGGTGGTGGCCTTAAGCTGTGCCAGGGGAAGGTCAGGTTGGGTATTAGCAGAGATTTCTTCTCTGGAAAAGTGATAATGCACTGGCACAGGGAGGTGTGGGGAGGGGGGGGGCATTGCTCTTAGAGGCATTTGAGAGCTGTGGGGATGTGGCACTGAGGGACACGATCAGTGGCTGAACGTGTTCATGGGGTGTCTGGGAGCTGCGGCCCTGCAAGAACAGACGGATGGATGGATGGACAGACGGAGCACGGTGAGAGCCAAGGTGACAACAGAACCGGCTGGCAGGGCAGCACGGCACAAACAAGAGACCGGCTGGTGGCATGGATCGGACACACGGAGCTGCAGATGGCAGGAGAGATGGCAGGGAATGACGCACGCAAGCATGCCGCTGCTGTCCCCTGCTGTCCCCACGTGGCCGGCGGGGACACGGGCTCTCAGCCCGCCCTCCCACCACCCAGCATCCCGTTGGGAGCATCCTTCCCAGGTGCCAGCTCAGCTCCATCACCTCTCCCCCAGCAACCACGCGTGGCTGGTGCCTTACCCGAGACATTGATGGGGACCACGTTAGTCTGCACAGAGCAGGACTGGTGCCACTGCTTCTCCTCCACGGTGGGCAGGGGGAAGGCCCTGGGCCAGGCTGTCTGCTTGTCGGGGGTGGTGGGGAGGCTCAGGGAGATGTCGGGTGGTCTCACGCCCAGCGTGCTGGCACTGCTGCTCTCCTCCTCATCGGCTCGCCGGCTCGGGGGCTGCGGGGAAAAGCATGAATCAGCCCGACAGAAAGGACAGAAAGGGCCACCCCCCATCTTGCTGTGCAATGCTGTGCCAACGTATCATCCCCAGCTGACATCCTGCCACCCCACAGAGAGCTCAGGCACAAAGGTCTGTCCCCACCGCGGCCCTGGGACTCACCATAAGCACGAACTCGAGGCGCTTGGAGGGCAGGGAACGGGGTGAGGGCTCCGTAGGGGTGCTGGGAGGTGGGTGGCCGGCGGCACGGAAGGTCTGCCCAGTCACTCTGCTCTCAGCATACTGCTCCTCATACTCCTCTGCAAGGGAAACAGCCAGTTGGATCCTACTCCAGCCACCAGTGTCTGTCTCTAGGCTGTGTCTGCCTGTCCTGCTCGAGGTGCAGGAAGGGGAGTGCAGGGCCCTGCAGCGGGGCCGGGGCTGGGAAAGCTGCAGCTCCCAGGGGGCTGGGAGCCTGGCTGGGGATGGCCAGCACTCCCCATCTCCCGTCCTGTGATTGTTGAGCTAATTAGCGCTGGTCGTTACAGCCTAGTGCGGAAACCAGCTCTACTCGGGCTGCCGTAATGAGATTACGAGCTGGGGGAAGGCCAGGCTGCTGATCTAATCGATGCCTGTAAAGCATCTGATCTGAGGCCGCGTGACGTCGCGATGGAGAAATTGGGAGGAAACAAGATCAGCAGCCACGCTGATTCCATTACCCGGCCCCACGCTCCTCGTAGGCAGTGCCAGGCACAGCTCAGGGCCACGGTGGCTCTGCTGGGTGCAGGGCTTTGGGGACAGAGCAGAGAACGGGCTGCCGCAGGCTGGGATGTCACAGCTCCACAAGGTGCACGGAGCAGCTCGGAGGTGCCCTCGGTGCAGCAGACCCAGAGCCGTACCCAGCAATGCCCCAGTACCTTGCAGCAGGCTCTGCAGGTTGAGCTGAGCCTCCTGGTGCAGCTGCTCCATGCCGGGCGGGCGGCCGGCAGCCAGGAAGACGTTCACTGGCTGCTGCCATGACAGCTTGGTGGGGGCGGCTTTCTTGCTCTCCAAGTCCAGGTTAGAGGTGGCTACGAGCAGAACAAGAGGGAAGTGAGGGACTGCGCTTCCTGTGAGTGCTGCTGAGGGTTTGGGGCCGGTGCTGAGGCAGCACAGCGCACCCATCCCATCCAGCAACGCAGGGCTGGGGATGTGGCTGTGTCAGACAAGAGCAGAGCCCGTCGCTGCTGCAGGCGCTGGACACGCTTCTGTGGGCGGCCAGAGCCAGGCAAGGAGCAGAGAGAAATTGAGGAAGGAAGAAATCAACCCACCGCCCTGGGTGATTGCACAGCTGCTGTCGGGTGCAGGAAGGGCAACGGTGAAGCAACCTCCTTGCTGCAGGAGAGCAGAAACCACAGCCTAAAGGGAGGGGGCGAGGGGACACGGCACATTTTGCTGCACTTCATCCACCAGCATCGCCCGAGAGTAACTCGCATTTGGCAGGAAAGGGTGGGAAGAGGCTGCGGGCTGCTGGGTGGCCCCGGGGTGCAGGCAGCGCACACCCAGCCCCGCTTCCTGCGTGGCAAACGCTTCCCCTCATCCCTGTGCTGTGGGTGCTGTCCCCAGCGAGAGCCTCAGCACCCTCAACCCCACCCCAGCGTGCAGAGCAAGCAGCTCTGCGGCTTTGCTGAAGGATGACTGCACCATGGCAGCCTCAGTGCCCAGCACCTCCCTGCTGGGTTCCCCCTTCTGCTCCATTTGAACCCTCTGCAGCCACCACCATCCCAGCCTGCATGCCCTCAGCATCACCCCTGCTCCTTCCCTACCCGCAGCCCCCAGCACAACACCCAGCATCCGAAGGCAGCGTGCCTGCTCCCTAGCCTAGTTACTTTTATAATTTGTGTTACCATAACGACATGCCTTAACACAAGCCTTTTTTTTTTTTTTTTCCTTTCGTCTTTTCCTTTAAATAATTTGACTTGTTTCCATATCAACCAAAAGGTGTCGGGGTGTGCGCGTGGAAATCACACTGAGCTTTGCCCAGCTGCAGGATCCCATCCCAGAGGGGGCACACGGGGCAGCACCGTGCCCAGAGCAGCCATCGTTCAGGGATGGCATTTCTCTGCTCCAGGTGAGCACAGCCCCCTGTTTTTCAGCAGGAAAACATGCTTGTTCCTCCCATTGCCTCCCAAACGATGCCCGAAGAGGACAGAGGTGCTGGCACAAGTGCTGCATGCTGTGCACAGAGCAAGCTCAGTGTATCACCCCCCTGGCAGAACGGCACGGCACCCAACAGGGACTCGGAGATCCCCATACAGCACAGCCCTCCTACCCACACCCTCCTCCACCACATCCTGCCCTGAGCAGAGCACCTTACCTCCGCCCCGGACCCCTCGGCACCCCTGGGGGCCCACTGTGCCAGCTGGAGCCCAGTGGGCAAACGGCAGCTCTGAAACCTGGAACCACCCCTGAGCAAAGCGGAAGCACAGCTGGGCAGTGTGTGTGTGTGGGGGGGGGCACAGCCATCCCCAGGCTGTGACACCGTGACACCCCACCTGCACGAGGAGCACCCAGGCACTGTGTGTGCATAGCTCAGGCTGCATGTAGGAGCAAACGTAATGCCTGGTGCTTTGGGTGGTGCTCCTTGGTGCTCGGAGTGCTGGGCATCACGCCGTGGCGCTGCCGTGTGGCTCAAGGAGCCAGCAGCACCGTCCCTCTGGACTCCTGAGGGTGCTCAGCTCCACCATGGATCCCTGATGCATGCCTCACCGCTGGGGGAAACCGAGGGATGGTCACCCAAAGGAGGCACGATGTCTCCCAGGGTTCTGTCCCACCTGGGGACAGCTCTGCCCCACACCTCAGGACCAGGGTAGCATCTGCGTGCATGGCCATGCAGCAGCAGCACGACATTGGGGACAGCTTGCAGAGAGCACGAGCAAGCGTTCAGGCTCAGGATGATGTGGCGATGGCGGTGTGGGGCTGTAGCCACGGGGAGTTTGCTCCCACCTTAGGACCAGCATCGAGCACGGCTTTGCTCTTCCCAAGCACCACCCGATGTGGGGCACAACGCACACGCCTGCCCTCAGCACCTCCAAGCCACCCCGCTCCACACCAGCAGTCGCATTTACCTACTGCCCAGGCACCCCGAATCCACAGGGAGATGTTTGACAGAGCCATCGAGAGCCGCTTCGATTCGGGGCGAAGCCACGGTGAGATGATGCCGCCAAACTTCCCTTCCTCAAGCAGCACTCCTGAAGCAAGCAGGGAGCGCCGGCACTGCAGAGGCACCCCAGGAGTGATGGAACAGCAGCAGCAGAGGCAGCGTTAGCTGAGCGGCCATGGCAACAGGCACTGGCACAGCAGCATCCAGCCCTGGTGCACCTCGAAGCTGAGAGTAATCCCAACAGTGACCCAAACTCTGCTGTGCTGCAGTGCCGGCAATGCTCTGCAATGCTTTGATGAGAGCCCCAACACGGCGCGATGCGTGGCGCAATGACATTCCCTATGGGCCGGAGCCAGAGTGCACGCTGCTCCTCAACGAGTGGAGAGGAAGAGAAAATAGCGAGCGGTGGGAGCTGGCAGCCACCACGCAAAGTGCCTGCTGTCCCACCTCACCCCATGCTGGATTCGGAGCCGTCGGGCCAGCAGCCCTGCAGAGACACAGCAGCACTGTGCACGGACACCGTACGGCGTTCCCACAGAGCAGAGCCCCACTGAACACCCATGAGCCCCACACCAGGAGAGAGTGCATGGGACGGAGTGTGCCAACATCCCACAGATGTTGTGCCACGGGGTGAGGCCACGGGGGCTGCAAGCCGTTAGGTGGGTGCCCACACTGTGACCCCTCACCTGCACCTCCTGCAGGGTCGAGACGTGCAACAGCAGCAGCAGCCTGCTCCTGCAGATCTGGGTTCTCCTTACCCTCCCCGTTTCACATGTTGTCAGCTGATTTTGCACTGACAGCAGCGCTGCAGGAGCTGTTGGGGTGGGTGGGTTAGCAGCTGAGGGGGTCACCCAGCGTGCAGGGGAAGGCTGCATTGCATGAGAGAGCACCAGCAGCAGAGCAGGAAACACCACCATCCATCAGTAGGGTTCAGAGTGAACGCTGTGCCAAAGCCCTGAGGCGCCATCAGGAAAACCGACACAGACCCATTTTTCCAGGTGGATCCTTCCTTCACCCTACACCCCATGTAGGGCCAGAGCAGAGGGGTCCCCAACAGGGACGGACGGGGGGTCCCTCCTCCCCAGCTCCACGTGTGGGGGCACGCAGGGGTGCCGTGCTGCTTTGGGAACGGTCCCCACAGCAACCAGCTGCCACTCGTGCAGCGACAGGCGGGCGCAGGGACACGGCAAGCGGGGACATGGGGTGGGAGTCGATGGGGTCTGCCTGCATGGAGGCTGCGGCCCCGTGCTGGGAGCGGGCGCCCGCAGGAAAGCGCCGTTTCCCCCGTGCCCTGCTGGATTTGCACTCCATGGGGCCGGGACAATGCGAGGAAGTGGCTGAGAGGGGAACGCGGCCAGGGCTCGGGACAAAGGGGCCCGAGAGCTGAAAGCAGCCACAGCGGAGCGGCGTGGAGCTCAGCACGGCCCCGGCTTCATTGCGTTGAGGTCGGCTGGGCTGGGCAGGGAGCAGAAAGAAGGGCACACGCTGCAGCCATGCTGGGGAAGGGAGGATGGGACCTGCACCGACCCCGTGTCCCAAGGCTCTGCGTCCTCCTGCCTGAGCGGCCACCCGATCCCTGCAGCCCTGCGCCTTACCTGTGCGCTGCCACGGCGCGAGGAGCCACTCCACCTTGGCCATGGCTACTCAGCAAAGCACACGGTGAGGAGCGAGCTGCCTCCACCTGCCCCGTCCGCGGCCCAGAGCAAAAGGAAACGGCCAGGAACTGGCTGCTTGACTCAGCTCCCGCCGCCCACTGTACGGCCCCGTCCTCTCTTCCTTCCCATGGCACCGCTTTCGGAATGCAGTCGGCTCTTTGCTCTGGGTGCTGCTGGAGCCCCCTGGGCCACGAGGGACCACTTTCCACGTACCTCAGGGATCTGTGCAGCTCAGCCACTTGTTCCCAGGGGTGTGAGGCCCATGGGAGCCAGGATGGGAGCAGTGATGGGAACACAGCCCTGAGTGCTGGTGACAGGCAGCCCCTTGCACCTGGTGCTGCTGCAGACCCCAGAGTTGTAGACCTCAGGGATGGGATGCCCCAAAGGCAGCAGATGCAAGCAGAGCACAGATGCACAGAGCACATGCAGCCCAGGCAGCATTTGCACATGGCCCTGATGGATGGGGCCGAGCAGAGCTGCTCCAGCAAAAAGCCTGTGGGAGTTGGCAGCAGATTCCCCTGGCCCTTATCTGGCCTGTCAGAATACCTCCTTAGCATCCACCACTGACAGCTTTCTGAAACACAGTGACCTGAGAGCCCCCAGCCCACAGGCAATAGGGCAACGGCAACTTGTTGGCCAAGTGGGAGCTCCTCTATGGCTTTGCCAACCCTTTGCCTTCCCAGAAGGGCCCCAACATTGCACCTCATAGCACAGCATCCTTCACCCCTCGCATCCCAGGCTCTCTTTGCCCCTTTTCATTCCGCTGCGACACCCGCTGCAACGGCAGCTGCAAAATGATACAGAGACAGGCTGTACTTCCACCCCCTCTGCCCGCTCATTATTAAGCTGTGACAGTCGCTGGGGCTGTGACAATCACTCCACATTTTCGTGTGGCTCCCAAGCAATTGAATGGGCTCCCCACTGCACCCCGCACTGCTCCTGACCCTGCAGGCAATGGATTCTGGACGGCCCCGGAGCACTGCCAGCTCTCATGCCCCATGTTTTCAGCATTCCCAGGTGCTGGGATGGGGTGCTGGGAGGGGACGAGTGTCTGGAAGGGTTGTGGAACTGCCCGGGCCAGCCATGTGGGGACAGAGGGGTGATCAAGCAGGTCCTGCCTGTTGGACCCACCTATTTCGAGGGCAGCTCGGTTGCCCCCACGGTCCCCCCAAACACCCTGTGCAGATTTGCTGGGGGTTCTGCCCGCATTGTGCTGTGAGACCCAACCAGACACCCACCACCCTCATGGGCAGTGGGAGAAGGGGGCTGTGGGTACCAGGGGCTGTGCAGGGATAGGCTCCCCACCTGGGCAGGTCCCAGCTCCGGGGCCAGCAAGTGCAGGCCTCTGCCACACGGATGGCTTCTGCAATTTGGGGCTCATTGCTTGCAACCCGGGGCTGGCTCCTTGCAATTCGAGGCTGACTCCACGCAATTCAGGCTTTGCTCCTTGCAACCCAGCACTCGTTCTCCGCTCCCAGCACCGTCTCCCCGTTCCCAGGCCACACATCAGCACCTGCTCCACGCCCCGCAGCCCGGTGCCGGCGGACGCACGGCCCCATCTCTCCCCGTCCCCTGCAGCCTCAGCTGGAGGTGACCTCACCCGCGTCCTCCAAGCGACCCACAGGGATCAACCGCCCGCGGCGAAGCACGAGCCGCCCCCTCCCCGCCTCCGTCCCACTCCGCTCCGGGGGGCGCCGCTCCCGGGGACCCCGTCCCATCCCCCGATACCTGTTGCTGCGCGCATCCTGCCCCGCCGCTGGCTACGCGGCGCCTTCCGCTGCGCGTTGCCCATCCTCCGGCGCGGCTCGGCCGGCCCCGATGCTCAGAGCCCCGCCGCCCCCGGGCCGCTCCCCGCCGGCTCCATACCTCCCCCGCCGCGCCGCGCCGCCGGGAGCGGGCAGCAGGAGGAGGAGGAGGAGGAGTCGAGCCGGGCCGAGCCGGGCCGGGCCGCACCGCACCGCGCCACACCGAGCGCCCGCCGCATCCGCACGGCCCGCCCGCCCCCTCGGGGCCCGC